TGTGTGTGTATATATATGTATGTGTATGTGTGTATATATATGTGTGTGTGTGTATGTGTGTATATATATGTGTGTGTATATGTGTGTATATATATATATATATGTGTGTGTATATGTGTGTATATATATGTATATGTATGTGTAGAGAGACAGAGAGAGAGACATTAATCATTAGTGGGCTCTTTCAGTTTTCATAATTTCATTTTCTTCTAATCTCCAGCTCTATAGGTCATTCACCGCATTTCCAGACTTTTTCCGGAACCAAACGGCAGATTGGTGGCACACAGAAATTAAAGATTTCTATGAGAATACCATGAAGTTTGATGGTATTTGGATCGTGAGTGTCCTGAAATAGAAAATCCAATAAAGGCACCTTGTTTCTGTTTACCACTGATTCTACCTGATTTTCTTTTCAGTTCCATCATCTATACTTTATGTTTTTTTGAAGGACATGAATGAGCCTGCAAGTTTTGTCCATGGCACAGTTGGAGGAAAGTGTCTTGGTGATCCAGTTCTGGAAAATCCACCATATATGCCACGTAAGACAGACTACTGTATTTGTTTACCATGAGAAATAATTAGGTTATTTAACAATATCAACATAAGCAGAATAAATAAAAAAATATATTCTTACTTAAATATATTCACACGTGTGTGTGTGTGTGTGTACGCACGTGTGTGTGTGTACGCGCGTGTGTGCGTGTGTGTGTGTGCATTTTGCAGCCTTGGAGTCAAAACATCTTGGTTTAAACCATAAGACTCTGTGTATGAACAGTGAACAGATACTCAGTGATGGAAGAAGAGTCAGACACTATGATGTCCATAGCCTCTACGGCTGGTCCCACTCCAAGCCTACCTATGAGTAAGTATATATGCATTCGTATGTGTGCCGAATGTGCCTGTTTGTGTGTGTGGTTTTATGTGAATGTTATATATGTGCTTTTGTGTATTGCTGTTTTCCTTTCCTGCCAGCTTCAGTAGCTGCTATACGGTATTGTTTTATATATAACAAGTGCATTTTTCGCCTACAAAAACACAGTTCTTTTCATTTTATTTTAACATGAAAGCATAAGCTATCCATGTAACTCAACAAATATGAGAGCTGCTCAGGTTTTATGACATAATAATCACAACATCCAGGCCATTTCACCCGAGAAATGTAAATCATCCCAAAGAAATGCTGATGTTGATGATGAATCTAAATCAGAAACCCAGACATGGAAGGTAAAACACTGATATCTTAAAGCTAGAAAAGTATTTAAAAAGATACTACTAATTTACATATAAATACATATTAGCCACCCAGCTTAATCATTTCCAGCGATTAAGAACCCTGGAATATACTTTCTATGCGTTTGGTTCACGAGCGACTTTTTGTCTTTAATATATTATCACCCCCTGTTGGTAATGCAGCTTCTGCAGAGGCAAAGTGTGAAATCGACATGATGAATTGGTGTTTCTATGACACGTTTTGTGATATTGGGTTGTTTATTTCCATATCCATTTATTTCCAAATTTCTGTGTCCTTCTTCTTTCGACAGTGCCCTTCTGGATGTGACAGGTAAAAGAGGCATAGTGGTCACCAGGTCCACCTACCCCTCTAGTGGAAAATGGGTTGGACATTGGCTTGGAGACAACAATTCTAGTTGGGATCAGCTTTACAAATCCATTATAGGTACATACAGATATACATTTTAATGTTTTTCTTTGAGATAAAACTTGTTATTCATAATTAATGGTATTCAACAATAATTATTTGGGTCTTTTTTACTTAGAGAAAAAAGTGACAAAAAACCCAAAACAAAAGAAAAAATACAAATCCACAACTTTCCATATTCCTTTCTTCTACAGGTATGATGGAGTTCAGTCTGTTTGGCATCTCTTACGTAAGTATCATCATCTGTCCCGCTTTTGACAAGATGTAATCTTATTGAGCGATCTTGCCCTCGCTAAATAGATTACAGTAGCTTGAATTATGTTATTTTGTTTGCTTGACCCATTTGATCAGAGGACATCGTGAAATACAACGCGAAGCATGCAACTAGAAGCCCCACCTCAATAAAATTCCCATGTATTACTCCGTCATGACATGTTATTAAATTAGCAGTCCTGAGTGAATCTTACATTTTATATTGTTGTCCTGGCTCTCTCTGTCTTTACTCGTTTGCTTCTTTCTTTTTGTGCCTCCTCTCCCCTCGCATATTGTCTTTCTGTCTTTTCTCCCTTCTGTTCGTCCAATAATAGTTAAAAACTGACACCTTATTGATTCTTAATTGAAGAATCATTTGCATGTGTCCAGCCCAGCTGCAAGGTTATATGATAGAAAGACATCTCAGAAACACAATGACTGCAAAATAAATAAACTAAAATACCATGACCCCAGTTCCTGTAGATCAGAAGTTGTTCTTTGTAGATACACCTGCTCTTTGATACACATGTTTCTTCTTTCTGTCTATCTCCATCTCCTCACACACACATTGATAAACTCAGACTCTTTGTCTCTTTCAGACCGGGGCAGACATATGTGGGTTCTTTAATCCAGCTGAATATGAGATGTGTCTTCGTTGGTCACACCTGGGTGCCTTCTATCCATACTCACGCAACCACAATGGCAAGGGTAACCCGGTGAGTGAGTTAAAAAGAAACTTTTGTAGACTCAAGAGAATATATAAAAAACGTTTATATATATATGGACTTGGTGTCTTTCTTACGGAAGAGGATTAGGGTCACAGAAAAATAAAAGTGTGTACGTCTTTCTTTTTCTTCTTTTCCAGAATTCTGAGAAAAAAAGTCAGAATTCTGACTTTTTTCTCAGAATTCTGGAAAAGAAGAAAAAGAAAGACGTACCCACTTTTATTTTTCGGAAGGCGCCCTAATCCTCTTCCGTACTTTCTTCCTCACAGTCTTTGTTTTTTTTTAATCATACATACAGGAACAATTTTTTTTAAACTACTGAATAAAAGCCCATAAAATGTCCTTAAACACACTTCAGAAGATACAGCATCGGCTACTTATATGAGTATATAAGAGCAAAAACAAGATTCAATGTCACCAGTGCAGTGTATATGTAAAATATAATGTTGTTGTAATGATTTAAATATACATTATTACATTTTTGTTCAACTTTTAAACTGCATTTGTAAAAATTAAATATCAATCATCTGGGGGGAAAAATCCCAGCAATTCCACGAAAACTGTGACATTGTATATTCCAAAAGTAGTCATGTTTTTATATTCATGAAATCTTGTAATTTGCATTCGCCTAAGATTAAACTTCACAACATTCAGCTCCAAATGTTGGATGAAGGGTATATGAGCTGCTTCTTCTGGCCTTAATTGACACCAAGCAAGGTGCTCACTACATCTGAATTCTCCTATAGCCAGCATGTGTTTGTGTACTGAAAATATGGGGTCAAATTCTACTGATATATTACGAACACATACCAGCTTTTGTGCAAAATAAGTTACTTCCTATTTCCTTTGCCATCTCTTTCTTAATCTCTGTTTGACATACGTGCACACCCACACAAACACACAGAAGGATAGACCTGTTCGGCGGTGTTGTGTTGGTGGCATTCATTCAAGCGCTGACCTTTAAAAGCGTTGGAACACATCTGAGAAATCCAATAACGCCCGTCCGGAGATCGATCCCACCAGGCGAAATTTCTCTGCACTACAGTCTGCAATACTAGACAGGACACAGTTGTGTATGTATATGTGGGCGTGTGTTTGTGTGTGTGTGGGTCAGTGCCTGTGCTTTTTAACAACATGGAGTGGGGATATAATTGAATTCTCAAGGTGATCTGGGCACCACTGCACACCACCTAACCTCCACACACACATGCACGCCATGATACCAATCGTTTAATAATGGGTTGCAAATGGATGTTTAAACATGGGTAAAACTGGCAGAAAAAAAAGTACTCACACGGCAGGAGAGGGTAGCTCAAAATGACAATTTCAGAGGAAGCTGTAAAGTCAGAGAGAGAAAAAGTCAGAGGTATTAGGAGAGAACTGATGAGCATGCACACTGTGTATTTATAGCAACCTGGAGAAAAAAAACACAAAAAAACAGAAGACCTGTCAGGGAAAATACTGACATGCAAAAAAAAAAGAGAAGGAAGAGAAAGCAAGACAAACTACGGATAAATCAGTGGTGATGTACACAAGATGACAATTGAGTAAGTTAAATGGCCTTGATACAGGCTAGTAATAATGATGTGAGAGGTGTGAAAAGATAAAAAAAAAAAAAAGAAACTATTTACCACTTTTGAAGCACAAATCTGAAAAGGAATGTATTGAATGAGAGTAAAATGTGGCTTTTATCTAGCACAGCCAGATAAAAGCCATGCAATCATCAGGCAGTTAGTGACTGCAACATCTAGTCTGCTTAACAAGCCATTTGACAACGAAGTATGTAACAGCACAAACCAGACTGGAGGGTATCCAAGGTCAGAAACAGGGGAGACAGAAAGAGAGAGGAGAGTTTTTGCAGAGTCATTCCCAGAGCTCCGTCACGCCTAGTGTCTCTTTGCCCTCAGACAACTTTCAGTGTTGACCTCTAGATAATTTTCACCGCACTAGCAATATACTGCCGTGTCCACAGTGATATCAGAACAAAATTAATTAAACAAGAGACATTCTCGACCAAGCCTTGCTTCAGCAGGGCAGTTATATTGGAGTCATGTATATTGTTATTCACCCAAAGGGACATATTACTCTTCATCTAAATATATTTTCTTTTTCTGATATGAGCTATGCAAAACAGAAACTCAGATGTTTATTAGATAAGGTGAGGGGGTAGATTTGAGACAGATAAAATGAAAAGAATGACCATATACTGAGGAGGATATAAGAATGGGTGCAGCCAAACAGATAGCATCTTTATATTCCTTGAAGGAGTGCATGTCTTGCCTTTTTCCTTTTGCATTTTGCCACTATAAATTATATGAATTCATAACATATGGACCCCACTTTTCTTGCACATCTCCATCAATCCCATCTCTCGCTTTCTATGAATGAAAATTCTACCTTGAAGGTTTGCAGAAAGTGGTATAACTGTCAGGACATGTAATATATGTGTGGTGTGATGTTAGAATGTATGAAACAAGTTTGGGGATATTTTTATGTTGGTTATTGTAATTCTTATGTGCTTTTGTTTAAAATTGTTTGACCTTTTTTTTTTTTTTTTTTACAAATTGTGTTTCAATATTGGCATCCCCTAAATTCATTATCAGAGAGTTTGGGGTGCTTTAGGTACAAGTGTAAGAACTTTAGAAAAAGATGACTGAACCATATTTTTGAAATTGTTCCACCTTGCATCCTAGAGCCTTCTTCAGTTCTACAACCAAAAGGTGGAGAGTCCCAGGTATTTAAACCAAAACTAGGGTTTAAATATCTAGGACTGCTATTTGGTAACTGTTAACCTGAATATATTGTGATGATGTTTAGACAGATTAACACGTGCTGATAAGCTTCTAAAGTACTTAGAGTAATATAATGTATACACACACATACACAGCACACTGTAACAGAGAGCAGGAAAACAGCATAAGAATCACCAACCAAATTAAGTTTCTGTATCTTTTTGAGTCTTCCAGTGCATGACCCAGACACACAGCCATATAAGCTTCTAGTTAATCCAGATAGCAAAAATCCACACAACTGTGAAACACTGTAGCCAGTGATTGATGGGGTGCTGTGTCTCTTTGTCAATGTTTGCCAGCGGTTAACAACTCATTGCTGTACTAGATCAATAGGCTAATTCAACACGCATTTGTGTTTTTTAATTTCTTTCAAAAGGCGACGCATATCGACTTGCTAAGCGCAAAAACAATATCTTTGTCTGTTTGCCGTAGACAAACATAGACACAGTTACATTTAAGAAAATGAAAAAAAAAAAAATCCGATCAGATCCAACTTGATCCTAAATGTTTATTAAAACAGGGAAATAAAGGCCTTGAAAATTTGGTAAATGGTGATTGGTGTATTCATTCATGTGCTGTTAGGTTCTGTATTTAGTTACCACTGTCCAACAGTTTTTTAAAATACAAATTTTGTTAATATCATGTTTAATGGTTTGTTTTTTTTTCTTTTAGAGGCAAGATCCTGTTTCTTGGGATGCGGCATTCGCCACTGCAACCCGGGATGTTCTGAACATCCGTTACACCCTCCTGCCCTATCTGTACACTCTGATGTTTGAGGCACATACGAAAGGAAGCACAGTGATCAGACCACTTTTACACGAGTAAGTGTAAACCGACAAAACACAAGGCTCTTATCTTATATTTTTGGGGTGATTTAGCATTACATTTAGTCACTTTATCAAATAATTGAGTTATTACCAGCATGGCTCTTTCATCCTGATCACTGGCAAGATGACCTGATTTTATACTACACTGCTTCTCATTAGAGAGCAGTGTGCAACGTAACATGAAGAAGTTTCTGAATTTAACAAAAGGAAATTTTCTCTTTAGTGTACAACATGTTTTCAACCCCAGTATCTTTTAATGACCAATAACACAAGTTATATCATGTTTCTAAAAGAAGGCTTTCACAATTGGCTACAAATGCTAAGTTAAATGGGAGATAAAACTGACTTTAACTGAATGTCCATGAATTTTGTAGTGAGGTAATGTTGCTTTGAGAAATGGGCTCTTGAGAATAACTTGAACTGGTAAGAAAATTAGAGTTGTATTTCTTGCCACAACAGCTGCCTTTAAAAAACCCTCTGAACAAGGCAATGTGACTGTGTAGTGTAGAGGCCAAGCATAGATGACTGTGGCTGCACTTGGCAGCTCCCAAATGTGAATGTGTGAAATTGTTTGAAGAAGAAGACATATTTATTCATTTTAAGAGACTCTTATAAAGTCACAGATGGTATTTAAGGACCTGGCACGGTGAGTCTGCAGGGTTAATTGGCTTGCATCTGCAAACCGTTGAATTCTGAATGAGTACTTGAATAGTCATCTGGGTTGAGGATGCATAAGAGAGCAGTGGTAACATTTCTTTCAGTCATGTTTAATGGCCTCTGTGGTTGTATGTTGTAGGTTTGTGGATGATAAAACTACATGGGAAATCTACAGACAGTTCCTGTGGGGACCTGCCCTGCTCATCAGCCCTGCGCTGGACCCAGTATGGCGCAACATGTGCACATGTTTTGTATTGTTTTTATTTTTATAGCTTTAAGGTTGGCTCTGATTTTCTTTAACTGATTTTTTGACAGGGAGTCACAACTGTAAGAGGATATATTCCTAAAGACCGCTGGTATGACTTTCACACTGTAAGTACTTGTTCGTAACAACAGTAAAGTATTTGATGTCAAAGTTCTTGCAGAATGCTGTGAACTAAAAGGTGCCTCTGTTTTACTGACTTAACAATTTTAACAGGCTAAAAAAAAAATACAACAAACATTCACCTGACAGTATTAAATGAAGGAAATACAGTATGACAACACCGTCACGGAGCTACAGCTTAGCCACTACAGGGAGCACCTTAATAACAAAAACCTACTCTGTGGGGCTAAGGGAGTCCCATCTGTTAAACAGCGTTACAACCCCTTGTCACTATGCGCACATACTAACACATTTCCACATATGCTAGTCTGTGATTTTAGTCTCTACCCTACCGATGTAAAGGACCTGTTGAATTAAATTAATCAAAGATAATAACCTGTAGTATTTCTAGTACTTTAATAGTATGTAATTATTTCTTTCATCAGGCCAAAGATGTTGGAGTGCGTGGCACAATGGTTGACATGCCAACACCCATGAATCATATTAACCTTCACGTCAGAGGAGGATATATCTTACCCTGGCAGAAACCAGAGAACACTACATATTACAGGTAAGTGAGCATACATTATGACTGATACATCTTGAGAGTTTGCAGCTACAGGTCAGCATCCTGTGTGTAGTATGACTTGTGTGTGCACGCGTGTGTGTGTGGGGGGCTTAGTGCCTGTGCAGAAATGCAGAATGGAGCACATATCACTTGTGTGTTTGAATGAGAATGAAAGAGAGAGAGACAGTCAGAGGGCGATGACTGTTCCAGCAGGAAAGAGGTCAGATGGATCCCCTCAGCAGGAATATATTTGTTCCCAGCAGCAGGTATAAATAGACATTGTCCTCTATTACAACAAATCTATTACAACCCTTTCTGCCCCTTTTGTTTTAGTCGGAAGAATCCTTTAGGACTGATCGTTGCCCTGAGTGACGCTGGAACTGCCAAGGGATCATTCTTCTGGGACGATGGTGAAGGAATAGGTAAGCAAAAGGTTACTTTTGAACACGTACACCCACCAAAACAGCAAATACTGTATGTGTTCATGGAGTCATTATTCATAGTAAAATGACTCACTAGAATTCAGTTTTTTTCTCTCTCTTGTTTCCTTTTGTTTTTTGAGGAGTTACCATTAATAATAGCCATAAATAAGAGTTAGCATAAGAAATGCAATCACCAGACTAGCAGTTTTTTTCTAGGCATTAATGGCTTCACTGTGTAGTGAGCCTGTGGCAGGTCTGAAGTGGACCCAAATGCAGAAACATGGAATGGATGGAAAAATAAACTTTATTAGCAGCTTTTTTTAGCAAATAAAGCTGCTAAACTTTATTTAGCAGCTTTATTTGCTAGAAAAATCATTCATAGTATAACTTACAGAAAACAAATTAAAAATCTAGAACATAAAACTATGAACAAAATACTGGGAAACTAGAAGCACGGAAAAACCAAACCAGAAACACAGGGAGACTTACAACACATGAGGGGGTACGATACGACAAAGGAAAACACAGGGCCTAAATATACAAGGGACTAATGCAGGAATGAGAAACAGGAGGGGAATACAGCCAGGATTAATAAGACATAAGGAGACAACAGGGTGCAAAGGTAGATACACTGACATAGGACATGGGACCGTCAAAATAAAACAGGAAATGACATGAACATTTAACCAGGACACAAAACACAACACCAGGAACACAAGGCAGGCACAGAGACTAAAAATCACAGAGGTGCTAAAGAATAACTAAGGAACACGAAATACAAACGACTAAACCACAAAAAGCCCACAAAATCCCAGAACATAGAATGAACAAAACTTGAAAACAGACACCTGACTCCAGACCATGACATTCACATGAATATCATGGTACAGGAAGAGCAGTAGAACATTTTAGGTATTTGTATCACTGTTTTTTATTTATGGGTTTAAATCACCTATTTCAAAGACTGATATCAATACCACAAAAGACAGAAGTGGATCAACGGCCAGTACTTGATGCTTTTTAGTGGACGAAAGCTGCTAAGTTGGTGTGCAAACAAAAAAGATCAAGCTTGTCGACGTTGTATGATAAGAATAACAGCCTTGTTGTTTAAATTAAAAGATGTGCACTGATTAATGAAAGAGACAGAACATTTTGGAAAATTAGAAAATCAGAATCCACTAATGGCTTTTCATCCCAGTGTGTGTTAAACTCCTGCGCAGTTAGTTATTCAGTGAAAGTAATTCTGCTACTTTCACTGAATATGAAATTCAGTATGGATTTTATCAGAAAGACACACTGAGCTACAACACGTCTATCTCTACTTCCTCGCTTGTTCTCAGACATGCATATTTACACATACACGAACAGAATCAGTCTCAGAAGTGCTTCTGTGAGAAGATGCACTCGTCTGTGCACGGTCTGTTTGTGTTGGGACAAAGGAGAGAAAGGCAGATAGTAAGCAAGTGAGGAATGCATAGAAGGGGAGTGACAGAAACCATTACAGTAATTCCCTGTGTCGCAGCCTAGAGATATGCTCTCCATCATTCCTCTTTTATCTGGTCCCTTGCTTCTCTCTTCTGCGTCTCCCTGTCTGTCTGCCATGTAGCCTTCCTATGTCTTGCTTGCTTGCTTTGCCTCTCAGCGTATCGCTTTCTTACCTGTACTATCTACTTTTCTGCTTGTTTTGGCTTCCGCATTTTTAGTTTTACCTCAGAGGTTTAGCTATTCTCTCCGCTGTCTGTCAGGTCGGTCCAGCTGCAGCACTCATTGTGCTACTCTGTCATTCACTGGTGTTCTCTCGTGTATTCAACTGGTTTTACTTTCAAGCATTAATACCACCTATGTATATTTAAGTGGCATAGCCAACTGTTTATTTTACTTAATTATTGGGTTTTCTAAGGTGATTATTTACTTGCCCTTTAAGTAATATTAATATGAACTTAAACCTTGATCAACACAAATTTTTATGCATCCCTTATTTGTCACTCCGTCACTCATTGCATAGTCACATACTCCTTTGCATACCCTCCATGCCTCTGCTCTGAATGTAATTCACTCCTGTTTCTCTCCTCAGACACAGTGGGGAACAAAAGATATCTTCATGTCACATTTTCAGTGGAGTCGGTGAGTTCAATGGCCAAATACAAGCCATACTTCTTTTTTTCCCCCATTATCATCATTATTACTATTAATGCAGCAAGACAAGCAGATCAGCTGATACCTTCGCATTTAAAAAGGCTGTGGTGGTGTATGTGGCTGTGGTCAACGTAATTTTGATCAGGTGCAAGGCTTTTGTTGTGCATGAAGCCTCATTAGAATTCTGTGGCCTAAAATTAACATGCTTAGACAGAAGAGCCTGAAGTTGAGTGGATATGTTAATGCAGATGTCGGTGTGTTTCTGGCATTACAAATGATTTAATAATCCTGCCTTTTTAAGGCAACCTCTAATTAGAACAAAACATTTTTTAGGGATTTATGTGGAAAGAAACAAACTAACTAACAGAAACAAACAAAAAAAAATCCCAAATAATCAGACAAATAGTTCCCAAAGGTATTATGACAAACCTATTATCTACCTTGTATAAAACCTCTAACCAGTAAGTACACTGTCTCCAGCCTCACAAATCAGAATTATGATGAAATGCAAACCTTCTGACTCACAACTCAATCCAGTTTTGAAGTGCATTTTAAACAGGTTTTCTGACTCTCTATCAGCTCTCATGTTTCTTGAGACTTTCTGTTTTAAAGTCTATATGCTGATAAACATGAACAGCTATATGCTTTCTGTTTGATTTCCTCTTGCTGTTTTGGGGAAATCAGAAAGAAACATGCAATACTCCAGAAAGGTCACATACATTCATACAGTCCTTTAGTTTATACACTTTAAATACTTTGTCTACCTAAAGTCCAGGATCAACCAGGATCATGTCTTTGAAGTTAGGAAGGATAACAGAGTAAAGTCATGCAGGCGCAGGAAGAGCATGTAAGGACTTATTCCTTGAATTTTGGTCTGAGACAACAGTGCCAACCCTGGCAACACCATGCCACCATGCATAAACAACTCTCAAGCTTATTGAGTGAAGTGGATGAACGAGTTTTGTCCACTGACATTAACACATTCTTAAATCAAAACAAAACCCTAAAGGATGTGTTATCTATAAGGAACAAGGTAGTAAAGGATTCACTTGTGATTCTGATGAAGTTTTACAAAATTGAATTCAAATTTGGCACCAGCAACAGAGTTGCCTCATTGGTGTCTTTTGGGGTAAATTTTAAAATATTGCTACTATGTAAGGATCATATCCTTCTGCAAGAGGTATTCAGTTAGTTGAAAAAAAGAAAGAAAGGTGGCCTATGTGTTATGGCAAAGTTTGTTTGGTAACAACTTGATAGCAGTTCAGGTCGAACATGTTAAAAACTCCCAAATAGCTAGGACCAGTGGGAATAACCCAGCCACATTTGCCTCTTTGCCAGGCAAAGACCCAAAGGCACACATTAATACACACATCTAAACCCAAACACACACATATATGCAAAACCCTACAGTATACACTTAAAGCTACCGTGGCCAAACATCTGTGGCTGTCCTCTGCCTACAATCAGGCTCAATTCAAAGCAATTTCACACAGCGATAAAACAGGCACTGCCTGACAGCTAAAGAGGGAGAGAGAGGAAGTGTGTGTGTGTGTGTGTGTGTGTGTGTGTGTGTGTGCACGTATTTTGTGTGTGCGCACATGCGTATGTAAGTGACTGTGGGGATGTATGTATGTGCGAACAGGCAGATGTGAGAAGATGAGGATAAGTTGAGCAATGAGGCCAGAAGCAGCCTGGCAGATTAGCAGATCGCATGCCATTTTGGATGTCTATCTGAATGTAGATGTGTATGTGTGTGTATGTATGTGTGTGTATTCGTATATGTGTGTTCTCTTAGCTCTGTATGAGTGTTGGACCTCAGTACAGCTAAAAGGAATCAGAGTAAACAACATTACCTGTTGGATATAAAACTATAGGACTTAAAATAGAACTATATAAGGAAGAGATTGAAATAGTAAATCTCACTCACTGAAAAGATGAAGCAAAAAATAAACAATAATGCATTACTGGGTAAACTTCATGACTCAGCTTAAACATTTTTCCAGCAAAGTGAATATGAAGTTCATGATTGTTGTTATCTGTCCTGTCATGCAATTCCTATAACAATGCATGTATTCCTATAACACAACAAAATGACATTTTGTTTTGTACATATACATATATATGATTACCCTTAATGCCTCCTCTTTGTCTTCATCACTTTCAATTTTAGAGCACCTTGACCAGTGATGTGGGAACATCTGGCCTGGATGCTGCAGATTATTTGAAGCTGGGTGTGGTGAGGATTTGGGGCGTGGGAACTGAGGTCACAGAGGTTACCATAACTTTAAATGACGGCCCTCAGCCACTAACCCCACAGCACAACCTTGAATCACAGGTCAGTACATTTCTGGAACACTTAATTCAATTGTGGTTAATGCCAATGTCTAAATATTGTGTATATCTACATTAAAATAAAATTAATCAAGTATTATTCATTAAACTACAGTTGCATATAGGAAATGGTCTATCACCACAAAAGCTCCTAACATAAATTAAATGTTGAAATGAATGTTGTGATGTTCAAAAATGAGCGTTGGTGCTCTGTAGGCAAGCCAGAGGTTCATGGTCAATAAAGTTCAACCACAGAAGGAGGGTGTGTACCAAAACATGACATGAAACACAGATTTTCTAAAGCCTTAAGATACTCAAAATAAAAGTATAAATAATACCAATAAAGTTCTCAGAATCCAAATACCCAAATTGTAAATAAGAAAGAAGAGTTTAGGTCATGTGTAAAGATCTAAAGCTGTTTTGCAGTGCTACATTGGTTTGAGGTGGGAAATGAAAAAAAGGAATTAATAGTCCAAGAGGATAGCATGTATTCCCTCTCCTCATTTGGTTTATGATAAAATATTCCTGTCAAGGTTGTGTACTGTACTCAGTGCACTTATCAGAAGCATGGAAATGATAGCTACTGCAGCTCCATAAATAATGGTAGATGAAAAAGCTTTACATTTATACTGTTCTTGAGAAGATGGACAGGGAGAAGCCAGACGAGAGGGCAAGAATTGCAGATGAAGAAAGTCAGAATGACAGAGGACTCAGTGTTTGTGTGTGTTGGGGATGCAAGGATGGGTTACGAATACTGAAAAGACAGAAAGATGGTTCATCTGTAGAAAGAAGGGAAGGACAGGCAGTACTGGTGGAGAGAGGGAGAATGCATCACTGTAACTAGATGGAGGGAAAAAATAGAGGTGAAAGAGATAAACGTGAAGAATGAAGGATGTGTGGGGGGTGGGGGAGAAAAAGGGCAGCGAGGAACAAGAGAAACGGAATGAGGATGACACAGTATGTGCATGGTAATAAGTAGTTTTTCAGCATGAGACAATCCATTTATCTTCTTAAGTATTGTCTGATGGGGTAACAACTTGAAAGAAATAGTAAGCAGCTGGTGCTGTGTCAGTTAAATACAGTGAGGTGGGAGAGCTATTTCTGTCTGGCACAGGACGAGATGTTTCATCCTGAAGACGGATAGGCCTGCTCTTACTGTCATGCACAAAACACATGTCTCAGTGTCAGCTTGTTTAACTTTACTGGAAAGATGTGCTGTGTATATATCAGAAAAACTGAATTATTAGCCTTTAGATCAGATCCAATTTATAGAACAGAACAGAAGGCAAGTGCTGTACATTCAACTCTTAAGTCCTGGATGATGTTTATTTAAAAAATAGTAAACGTGAGCCACCAATGAAGAAGTAAAACTGATGTCTCCTCTTGCTTTTACAGGAGCTGACCATAGATATTACTGATCTGAATGTGAATGTGCATCAGACTTTTCTGTTAACATGGAAGACCAAGGCTTGAGTGCAGTATTTGTGTTCACTTGTAAAAAAAAAAAAAGAGATCTTAAAATAAGGGTTTATTAATTTAAACAAAGATGTGAAGAATACATATTGTTTTTGAACATGAAATGTGAAACCTCAGTGCCTCCCATCAACCTATAAAACCGAATAATGTTTTCCTTTTTACCGTTACACTGTGCCTTTAAAACAAATGTTTGATTTACTCTAAATAACTTCAGAACTTTATTGTCATTCAATATCCCAAAATGTGTGATACCGTAGAAAAAAATAATGACTGCCAATCATGTCTATGGTAGGAATATTTTTTCTTGCAATCATGTATGCATGCTGATTACTTTTAAGAAAATGAGAATAAGGTAATGTTAGGAACTGCAACTGCAATAAACTCTGTGCATCATATGCATGTCTGTTCCTGCAAATAAGATATGAATAAATCAGTGAATTAAAAACTGTGTTTGGTCTTCTTCTCCAGTTATGTGTCTCTGTTTTCATATTGGTCTTTTAATCCAGTTAATAATCCAGTTAAGAGAAAGTTATAATGACCCATATAATCAAACCTTCACAAAATCTTAGGAATGGTGATTTTGATAGGTGCAAATGTGACGCATCATTGATGTTTTGTAGGTACTAAGAATTTAGTAATAGTAAATTAAGTTTCATTAACTCCAGTTTGTACTTTGCGCTTGTGTTATTGCCATTTAGTGCTGTGCTTTTGCCACTTGTATTTTTCACAGTAGATATGCGCAGACTTGTGCATGTATGGGTGTTTGTGTGGGTGTGCCAGCATCTATTTATAGCTCTCACCTGCAGCAAGCTGTCTACCTGTGCTTTGTCTCATCCCATTATTTTCCCATATAATGATACAGCCATCCATTATTCAGCCTGCAGTAAACCTAATGATGTCAATTTAGCCATGGGCACCTCAAATTGATTTCCACTCTAATCGCCACTCCACGGGAAGCAATGTGTTTGGGGGTTGGTGTAGAACGTTGTGTTTATGCGCTCATGTCCAAAAAGTTTAGAACTGTGATGAATCATTCTAAGCCCTGTATTCAGGTTAGCTATTGTTTTGAAAAGAGAATTTTTACACTTTGACTGTGAAAACATCCTTACCTTCAGTGCCTCTGGGACTAATTGAGCTGATGATCTGAAGAGGCATTCTTCCTGGATTCATACTGAAGTCATTACTGGTGTAAGAAAAAGAGATAAAGACTCTAGACTGTGAATGAGTTTGAAGTTTTGTATTCTTCACATTCCTGGTGGTTACTGGTTCCTTTTTTTACACATATATATTTTCTCTCTTATTTTGTCAAAGAAAGAAAGTTAATAATGAATTACCCCTGACACTACCATGTTTTGAATTTGTTGTGAATGAGACTTAAATGCTTTCTTTCTGTCAAACATTTGTAAAAATTGACAACAGCATTGGCTCAGATTTTTCTTTTCATCATTTCTGCTTTCCTGTAATTTCCAGTTCAGTTTTGTTCTCATCATTCTGGTCAAATCTCTTGCCCGTCTTCTGTGAATCAATCAACCTCCAGTTCCACATGGATGTAGCCCAAACTACATGTTTTGGGAGGGCGACTGGTTTGCAATTAGTTGGCCACCAAAGTTTTCTGCTCTGTACCACACAGAGGCTTGTCGAATCAGAGTAGGTTAGAAAGATTTGGGGTTTTCTTGCTCAATGTTAAAATTTCTAATGCTCAGAAAAAATCACTGCTCTTGCTTTTCTTTTGTTTTAATATAATCCCCGTAGTCAACCCATGTCAAGTACGGGTCTACTCAATACTTTAAAGAAGTGTTCCTTAGGCTTGAACGTCTCTCTCTGGGCCTGACCCACTAGATAAACACGGCAGGTTTCCTGTTCTCAAATATGTCATCATCCCTCTGGCCCAATCATTTTTACCCATCTTCTGTGAGCCAATCAGCCTCTGTTCTGTGCTCTTTAAATCTCAGTGCTGTATTTATGCAAGATACAATATACTCCAATAAAATCCTATTAGAATGTTCCAGATTCCTGAAATTTGAAAAAAAAGGGGAAAATCTGATATAAATTCAAAATACCTAAATTTATCTTTAAAAAAAGCTATTGAAAGAGAGCTGTAACATAAGAAAATGTGCATAATCACGTTCATTTATTCCTCATTGTTGGAGATAGTCGATACAGCTAACCACGACCCTGCTATAAGAGCAGTTAGTTATTAAGGTAACTGCCAACCAAGATTAGGCTTAAGGGTCCTAAAAATTATAGTTTGCCTGTGATAAATAGTTGGATTACATTCACATTCAGACTAAAGTCAGTAAGTCTGACAATATTAGATGCCCTTCAGAGAAAGTTTAGGTAACACTGCCAAAACAGCAGCTTACACCACCAACAGAAAACTTCAGGATATCTTTGACAACTCACCTGAATATCACTGCCATCAGTCATAAGTGAGCTTCACTGACTTATCGACCCGTACTGGAGTCCTTTCATAAATTTCTACATCTTCCTCTGGAGTAAATAGACAACGAATACTTCAGACACCCACCATTTTGAGAGCTGAGGTAAACAGTGGACTGACAAGCTACACTTACTACAGATGAAAAGTTGGAAGTGACTCAGATAAAAACACTAAATATTTATTCGACACCTATCTGGGATTTTTGTTGTTGTTGTTGTTGTTGTTTTGTTTTTTTATCCCTGAGTTATTTCTATATAAATATGATGTGTAAAAAGTGTTTTTCTTATTTTATACACAAACAGTAAAAGAAACTTGCTGGCTGTCTATGGGTGTATAGCAGGGGTCTCCAACTCTGGGCCTCGAGGGCCGGTGTCCTGCAGTTTTTAGATGTGTTCTTGATCCAACACAGCCGATTCAAATGGCTAAATTACCTCCTCAGCATGTCTTGAAGTTCTGCAGAGGCCTGGTAATGAACTAATCTTTTGATTCAGGTGTGTTGACCCAGGGTGAGATCTAAAACCTGCAGGACACCAGCCCTCGAGGCCTGGAGTTGGAGACCCCTGGTGTATAGAGTACAGAGGGCTAAATGTCAAGCAGATGTTAGGTAAACAAAAAGCTAGAGCTTATAGAATATATGTATTTTATGAACCACGAGGATTTAAATTTAAGGATTTAGAAATTTAAAAAAAATCTACATACAAAAAATAAAATAATTAAAATGCACTGCAATAAAAATTAATCTTTAAAATATATACAAAAAATATATACATATTTTTACATATATTTTTAACAAAAAACATAAATAGCATTCTCCATCAGTGTTCAAATTCAATTCAACTCTAGTTCCAGATTGTCAACACATGATTTTCGCATGATTTTGTGTTCATTTCTTTCAAAAAAAACCCTAAATTAATGAGGCCCAACGCTTCTATGGATAGTTGTCTTTTTCTCTGACTTTCTAAAAGAGAAGCCATCTTAGCAGAAAGCATGCCTTCAAGTAAGTTGCAGTAGCAGTAATGTGTCTTTGTTCCCGGGGTGAATGACAGATACAACAGAGGCACAGATGGGTGATGGGGGTGGGGAGATGAAACAACATAAAAGACAGAGAGAAAGCACTGTGGCAAAATCAAAGTCTGTCAAATGTGAAAGGCGCGTGGGTGCGTACACGTGTGCTATTAACATGTTAGCAAATGGTGTGAATTATATATTTCATATCTTTATGCATATGCCATATTTGAACTATTAAGAGCTCGGCAAAATCACCTGTGAGGTGTTACAAAACCAGTAATAATGAAAGTCAAATCCATGAGCACATTTCTGTGACAGTCACATCAGAAAAACAGCAAGGTGCGTAAAATGTCACCTGTCACAATAAATTCATATGCTAATTTTTCAGGACAAGCTGAACCTTGAAAATATGCATCATTTTAAAATTAGAAATAGTTCATCTCTCATGGATTCGTAACGCCTTCCCCCCACAATCATATACACAGGCCTTAAAATGCAAATATAGAATATAGACTTGACCTTGTCTCCCTTTCTTTCTTTCTTTCTTTCTTTTTTTTTCTCCCACATGGTTTTTTCTGTCATATTTTCATCTCATGAAGACAAATAGTTTAGAGACAATGAAGCACAACCCTACTGAACCAGATCCTTACAGCCAGGCTCACCATTTGACACACACAAGCACTCTCACTTACACACAAACACATAAAAATGTCACCTGTTTGACATGAGTAGTTTCACCCCTCACATTCGCTGATCTGTTGCTCATTTAGGGAAGTCATCTGCCCAGTGAGAGCTAACAGTGCAACTTTTATAGGCGCATGAATGGTTCCTGACCCTGTCTGAAACACGCAAGGAAATGCTTTCACAAAACCTTCTGTTGTAAATAAATAAA